GGATGCTCGAGAGCTTCAGAAACCAACATAAACAGTCTGGATCTGTGAGATCAGCCCGAAAACAGCATCTGAAATTCACTGGGGTGTCTTTATGATTGATAACATGACGATCATGGAACTACATGCATTAAGGGGAAAGTAAGGGAACGATATAAATAATGGGAAAGTAACCCAAGACATAGACAGCCTTGCCATCAAACACGGGTCAGTTTGCAGGTTAGAATTGTAATAGAAGAGCTAAACAAACAGGTTATTGATCAGGTAATTGTGGTCTGTTTTAGGAGGATTTCTAGACGTATGAAGTCTTTGGCTTAGATGTTTGGCACTGTCATCATCATCCTCTCATTGTCCTATTCACTGGAACAGAGATTATTTATTAGAAATGCATGAAGATTTCACATGGAGCGTGTTAAGCTGCTTTCTAATATTGGAGTAAATATAATTAATGCTAATAAAATCTAAATTGACGTGTCATACAATGGGAAAAATGTGATCTATTAATTCTGAATATGCATCAGTGTTATTTTAGTATCAATGAGATACTATTATATTTTTTAATAATATTCAGAATTTGTTTTTATAATTTCAATTTTCATTTTAGCTAAAGTTTTATTGATTTTATTGATTTGTAATAATTTTATTGTTTTTTAATGTCTATACAGTTTGTTTTATTTTATTACATTTTATTTCTATCTGAGTTATTTTAGGACATCAAGTCAAACTAAATGAAAATGAGAAATGTTTTTAGCTGCAATAAACTTTTTATTTTTTTTAATTTACCGTTTATTTCAAGTACTGATTTTTTTTTCTTTTTTAAATGGTTTTAGTTTTAGCTAATGGCAATAAGCCTGATATGCATATACAGTAAATGACAAGTTATTGCATTAATTCTCAACTTGGTGAATTAAAAACAACATTAGAATAAACACCGAGAAGTTCCATAAATATAAATTTACACGTCAATATTAATGTATTATTACAATAAATAGTACCTTAAAGTGGTAAAGAAACATGCATTAAATTGAAAATCAAGCACTTTGTAGTTTTAAATTTTGAACGGAAGGCATTCGACGTGAAATTAAGGATCCGACTGCAAATGCTCAAAACATCTAAATGAAGCCAATTAAAAGTTACAAAAATAGCAGATCCATTTGAGAGCATCAACAATCCCAAATGAAAAACAGTAACCTAAACGAGGTCCAGAAAGGAAAATCCATCCATTCATCTGATCATCACGACATCAAACGCTAACAAAAACCCAATTGCAAATAAAAGATGAGCATTCACAGCTTAGAAAAGAGATCTGGATCATGTCAGAAGAGGGCAATAGTGTGCCACTGCCTGTGCTTATTTCACCTGTTTTAAACACAAGCGTAATTTCATAAATATATCAGTTTAATACTATAGTTAAAACCATAACCCAAAGTGTTCAATCCAGTTTAGCATGGGCCGTAATCCATTCCACAAGAGCTTTAAATCGCAGATGCACGTCCCAAAGAAATTCAATGTATTCCAGATAGTTTAGCATCAGTCGCAACATGCAAGTCCGTGGCCTTTGGTCCGGTCCGTATCCATCCCGTATAGAGTCCACAAACACCTCTGAATCATTAAAGCCAAGTCGCATAAAGAGTTTACACGGCCCCTGCGATCCACCAATCCCGTAATGTGCAAGAAAGCGGCCGAGGCCAGAGGATTTATGGAAGCAATAAATGGGAAGCGATAGCTTCTGTCTGCCCTCAACACCGTAACTCAAACTCGAGAAGAACAGATATGCGAGGAAGATGCGTTAGAGGCATTACAGTGTGGAAAACACAGACACGAGTGAAGGAAAACAGACTGTGATGGACTAAAGGAGAGCAGTCGGTGTGCTTAAAGGGATAGTTCACCTAAAAATCACTATTTACTAGCCCTCATGTATCCAGCAGCTCTCGAATCTCATTCACACTTGTGTATAATTCAAATATGAAGTGTTGTGCATTATTAAATGTCAACTAGGGCCGCAACACACACTTATTTTGATACTTGATAAATCTAATGATTATTACGACTAATCATTGATTATTTCACCGATTAATCCGTAGGCTTTGATCGATTATTCACTAAAATATTGAGTTTTACTGTACATATTAATATACATATAGAGTTGCTTTATAGCAGAAAATCAAGTTCTAATTGTAACTGAACGCAACATCGACACTGTTTTTTCATGTTTAATACTGTAAAGCTGCTTGCTTTAAAGCAGTCTATTGTAAGTGTCATAAATAAAGGCAACAAATAAACAATAAACGTGCACTACAATCAGATGCTTTCTTAACCGCTGTTTTCTCATGGCTGTCATTTTTGCTGTTTAAGTTGTTATTGAAAGGAAATGCACAGCATATATTTACATATTCATCTAAACACCGCTCTCAGCTAACAATAAAGTACTGCTTGTGTATACAAAATGTATTTTTACACCTAAGTGAAGAATGCAAAAGAACTTGGGGCTTTTACACATGACAGCATTTTTTGTTTGCAGTTTTGTAAAACATTTCCACACTCGACTGGTTCCGTTTCGATTGCACGTCTCATAAGCGTGTCTTCTTCTGTTGGACTGATGAACTACAGCGCCACATTGGTTAAACTGCGTTATTGCAGGCCCTTATATTAGGTCATGAGATCAAACACTATTCCCCAACAAAAATATTTTACTGTTGATGTTGTTCGATAATATCATCCAATCACTTCAGCCCTAACGTCAAGGACGAGACAGATTATGTAAAACCTGCTGTCATATTTGAATTGACTGCAAACGGAAATGAGATTCGAACAGTCATACAGGTTTTCAGTGGACGTGAGGGTGAGTAAACAACATTGTTTTCCTCTTTGAACGAACTACACCTTTAGGATATCAACTTGTTAGGCCCTTTCTGATAATATTTTACTGCATTGTACTGTTTCAACGACTCCCAGCCAATGATGATGAACACTCACACACACAAATGCACATAAAAGATGTGAAAACTGACAGTTTCTACCAATCACATTCACACGCCTTCAAATAGTAAATTTCTCTTCATTTTTTCTCTTGTGATAAAACCTAGTGATTTGGGGATGTCAAAGTCAACAAAGTCCCAGCGAAGGTGCTTCTTTATCAAATCCATCATTATTTGCTATTATTGCTGTAACCTCTATTACATTAACATTTACCAGCATTAAACGACTGTTAATTATGGCCAATATTTCAGAAAGGCTGCATTAGCTACAACAGCAGTCTAAAACAATGACTAAACAGTTACTTGACTACTGGTTAAAGGAGTCATCGGATACCCATTTTCCACAAGTTGATATGATTCTTTAGGGTCTTAATGAAAAGTCTATAACATACTTTGGTTAACATTTCTCAATGGTAGTGTAAAACAACACTTTTTATACCTTGTCAAAAACTGTTTCAGTGCATGTCCCTTTAAATGCTAATGAGCTCTGCTGACCCCGCCTCTCTCTTCCGTGGGATGACGAGCCATACTGTTTACTTTAGCCGCATTTAGCCGTGAAACTTGCTAACTAGCACATTATTAGGAAAGGTGATTTGCAAAGATTCACTCACTTCTTCTGTAGGTGAAGCTGGATCACGAATGATTTGCGCGAACATAGACACATTTAGGTAAATCGGGGGTGCATTCCCTTCAAAATCAAATGTAATCCACTGCGTCTTCAGCGGCTCAGATGTTGGGAGTAAATATCGACTGCTATGTTCATTATTACATCCAAAAACAAAACACCCTAATCACTTAGGAGACATTCTTGTCAACTTCTGCTCCGGCATCGAAACAAAGGCGGACTGTTCACAGCTCACTCAGTTAATGCTGAAACGCTAGTGTCAATCAACTATCGTGGGAGGGGCCTGGGTCTGTGTGATGTCACACAGTCAAGGATCTGAGAATGGCTTGATTTGAGAAAGGGGATATTATTTATAGGGATTAAAAAAACACTGGGTGGATTTTTATCATTATAGGGTGGATGTGTACAAACACTGCCAACACACATTTATGTTCAAACAACATGTAAAAGTGAATTTTGCATCCGATGACCCCTTTAAGATTAACATTATCTAATAGCCCACAGCCAAGATGATTTCAATGGAAAAGTTTACTGACTTTTGATTTAATGTTGATTTTAAGATGCCACATGTGAAGCCAAACTCAGATTTCCAGTAAGCTGATGCTAAAATTCACATGCATTTTCCTCAATTTGTCTTTAGTTATTCAGAGGATTTAATCATGGGAACCACTGTGGAGATCCAGGGTCAAACATCCACCATCAGCCACAACAAACGCTAAACCTGACGCTAACACTATCAGTGAGATGCATATATGGGACAATACGGATACTGAACACATCTCTTCACTATTTTACAGGTTGTGTTCAATGCTAGTTCAATTCAATTTAATCTCTGTCAACAGCATCTGTAGCACAATAAAGCTGGTAAACACTCCAAATTTCACACAATAAACAGACAGAACATTTCCATGCAGAAAAAGCCACTCACAGGAATTATGTTCCTAGTTTTATCCACCTAGAAAAGTAATCCTCTGCAAGAATGACACTAACAGGGATTTACTGAATAATTCAAAAAGTTGACATTTCTGCTTTTACATGCTGTTCTGTTTACTGCCATTGTAAGTGCTATGGTAAATGTAGTAATGGAGATTATAGCACAAATGATAATTATACATCTACAGTTTCGGCAGATATCATTCTGAATAATCAGCATCAGTATTTGTATCGGTATCAGCAGATATTATTCTGAATAATCGTATCGGTCGATATCATTGTGAATAATCTACTATAGGCATCGGCAGATATCATTCTGAATAATCGTATCGGCAGATATCATTCTGAATAACCGTATCGGCAGATATCATTCTGAATAACCGTATCGGCAGATATCATTCTGAATAATCGTACCGGCAGATATCATTCTGAATAATCGTATCGGCAGATATCAATCTGAATAATCGTATCGGCAGATATCATTCTGAATAATCGTATCGGCAGATATCATTCTGAATAACCGTATCAGCAGATATCATTCTAAATAACCGTATCGGCAGATATCATTCTAAATAACCGTATCAGCAGATATCATTCTGAATAATCTGCTATCGGTATCGTCAGATAATCTGAATAATTGTATTGCACATATTCTGAATAATTGGCTATCGGTATCGACAGATATCTTTCTGAATAATCGGCAATCGTTATCAGCAGATATTATTCTGAATAATCACTATTGGTATCGGCAGATATCATTCTCAATAATCGGCTACTGGTATTGGCTGAGAAATTTAATATCGGTGCAACCCTAATAATTCTCCTTCTCTGTTGAGTCTCTACTGGTCTTTCAGACACACACTATCATACTTACTAACACACAGAAATGATTCAACATGATGTGCTGGTTAAAAGTACAGGTAGTAGGTCCAGTAGAGCAAATTAACGATGATGAACGACAGCGGGAAGGTTAACCGTGAGTAGTTGTCTATATAATGTGGGTTTTCCACATGACAGCAGTTAATGGATCTCAGAATCTTCCTCAGGATGGAGATGTTTTTGGCACAGCGGCTAAAGAGCTCCGCTGGGGCCTCGGCAGTCTTGGGTTCGCTGGCGGTCGGGCTGGAGGGTGCGAGGCCAGGCTCTCCGCCGGAGGTGGGCGTGGGTGCCAGAGCGGGAGAATCTTTGCGCCGCTTTATCCGTGAAGAATTGCTGGCGATGGTGGTGACGATGCCATTCATCTCCTCCTCGCACTCGTGCATGTGATGACCGTACTGACAGAAAGAAACACAGAGACGAGAGAAAATGAGAAACGAAATTCAACATGAAAATCAATAAGACCAAAAGTATGATGAGATGATGTCAACAATAAATGATGATTGTGACAATAACAATAATGACTATAATTTACATTTTAAGAATTTGTGAGGGGTTCTTACCCATGCAAAAGTCACATTAAAGGGATAGTTTACTAAAATTTTTAATTTAAATCATTCTTTTGAACTGATTCTTTTTAGTGAACTAGTTGAACCGATGAGCCGCTGATATGAGCATGTGTGAACCGAACACTTAAATGAAAGGGCCAAATAAAAGTTATGGTTTCTCATTGTTTACGTAAAATTGTGAGCTGACAAAGACAAGTTTATTCACTTTATATGCTTTAGACATGTAGAACAACTGAGTTTCACATCCCAATTGGGTGCTTTAATAATACAATAACGCATACATGACGTCACTGCATGATTATGTAAACAAATTAGTGAATGAATTGAAACAAACTGTCTGAAAGAATCAGTTTGTGGAAAAGAATCAGATTTTAGCGTTTGCCTGAGGCTCTGGATTACTAGTAATAATGATATAAATAATGATCGTTTTGCTTCATAAGACCTCAATATATCGTCAGGAGGCACTGGGATTCATTTTGCCTTTCTTAATATGCTTTTTTTATTCTCAAAGATGGGCAGCCAAAGACTTGCAATTTCTATATCACCAAGGCCCATGGTTTCAGCTAAAAATCTTCTTTATTGTTCTATTAAAGAAAAAAAGTCACCTACATCTTGTATAGTCCGAGGGACAGTAAAGTCAGTGAAGTTTCATTTTTGGGTGAGCTATCCCTTTAAGACTCAAAGTAAAGTATGAGCAATAATGATGCTTACCTTAGGAAACAGCACAGATGATGATGAACACACTATGATGATGATGATGATGATGATGTTCCTCTCTTACCATAAGCGCGTTGTTGTAGTCGGGGTGGTTTAGCGTGCAGAAGTGGGCCACGGCGTACTCTATCAGCGCTCCAAAGATGAAGCTGAAGCAGATGCCCAGGTACACGTCGATGGCCTTGATGAAGCAGTTGGCGTTGGGCAGAGATGTCCGCGCACCCATCATCAGTGTGGTCATCGTCAGGACAGTCGTCACACCTGTAACACGCACCAATAAGACACACAGAGTCAGCTGAGACGCTTGTCTGCCTGGTTCTGAATAGGGCTGAAACGATTAGTCGACATTATCAACAATAAAAAAATTGTCGTCAAATATTTTTGTTATCGAGTAATGGTTTGATCTCATATGTATGGAAGCCCGTTTCCGCCACTGAATAAAAAATAAAAAAGGTAATTGCGACTTTTTATCTCGCAATTCTGACTTTTTTTCTCATAATTGCGTGATATAAACTCGCAATTGGGAGTTAAAAAGTCGGAATTCTTTTTTTTTGAGAAAATACTTTTTTCTCAGAATTCCGAGTTTATATATTTTGCAATTCTGACTTTATAACACACAATTGCGAGTTATAAAGTAAGAATTGAGTGATATAAAATCGCAATTGCTAGACAAAGTTGCAATTCTGATAAATAAAGTCAGAACTGCGAGATATAAACTCACAATTATTACTTTTTTTCTCAGAATTGCGAGTTTATGTATTTTGCAATTCTGACTTTATAACAGACAACTGCGAGTTATAAAGTCAGAATTAGATGGTATAAACTCGCAATTCTGGAAACATATCAGTCTCCCCCCCCCCCTCTAAAAATTGGACTTTACCTCGCAATTGCATGTTATAAAGTCAGAATTGCGAGAAAAAAAGTCAGAATTGTTTGTTTATGCCTCGCAATTCTGACTTTATAACTTGCAATTGCGAGCTTATATCTCACAATTCTGTGAAAAAAAATTCAGAATTGTGAGATAAAAAGTCGCAATAACCTTTTTAAATTTTTTATTCAGTGGCAGAAATGGGCTTCCATACATATGACCTAATGAAAGAGCCTGCAATAATGTGGTTTGACCAGTGTGGCGCTGTAGCCCAAGACTGTAATTCAGCCCTCCTGGATGCAATTCAAGAGAAGACAGCACTTCAGAGCAAACTCAGCCCAACCTGAAGCTGCCGAGTGGCGTTTGGATGAATGTGAAAATATATGCTGCATGCTTTCCTCTCAATAACGAAATACACACAACAAAAACTGACAGCGGTGTGAAAGCAGCAGTTAAAAACACATCTGATTACAGCGATGTGGATGTTTGCACGAGCTCTGCAGTTCAGTACTCCAGTCACGTCCAGTCATGTTTACTTGTATAGTACTTTATGCAATAGATATCCTTATATCAAGCAGCTTTACAGTTTTAAACATTAAAAACCAGAGTCAGTAGGCGCGTTTCCATTACCCTTCAAATTGCGCGAATTGAAATTGCGAATTGAAAATACGCCTAATGGAAACGCGTCATTTTCGCAAAAACTCCCATATATCGCAAAAAAGTTTTTACGCTCGCATGAGGTGGTTTTTTTTGCCAAACTGCAATGGAAACGGCTTTTTCGCATTTACAAGTCACATGGTGTATGTAAAAAGTCATATGATCATTCTTCAATGTACTATAACCTCCAAGAAACACTTCATAAGTGGCCGCGCTCCAGTATAAGGGGCTTTCCCTACTATTAATACTTAGACAATTTACACTGCACACGTCTGCGGTGCAGTGTGGCTCTGATACGGTCACTGAATCTTTTTTATCGACATTTATAAAATATCGCCAAAGTTTTGCGCAAATCTGTAATGGAAATGCGCCTAGTGTCGCTTTCAGTTAGAATTACAACTTGATTTTCTGTTATAAAGCAGCTCTCCAGTGTGGAGCTAGCTAATGATCAATGATCAATAGTGGAATAGTTTGAGCATATCTCAACATAGTTTATTTATCTTCATCGGCATCACCGTACCTATGCAGATGCGAGCGGGGACGGATGACTGGCTGATCCAGAAAGAGACCCAGGACAGCACCACCAGCAAGCTGGATGGCACGTACGTCTCCAGGATGAAGTACAGGATGCTCCTCTTCAGCTCGAAATGAAAGATCAGCTTGGGATAATTTCCTAGGAAGGGATTCAATGTAGTGATGTGAAATGCTAATGCTGTCCGTCCAAGTAAAAATCTTCAAGACCATCAATAAATCGGAGATTAAGAAGTTATTGGAGTGGTTTGTACACACTGTAAAGTGTCAGGAGTGCCAACCGTATCATTATTATTACAGTTTTGTGTGTATGGAACAGAACTCACTCTCGTAACTGCGATGATTGACACCATAGCAATGTTTTGGTATCCGCTATTTCAACCAAAGTAATAATACAGCAACCGAAGACTCATTATGTTCACCGATTTAAACTAAACCACTGTTGACAGAGGAGTCATAAGTGTCCCTGCAGCACAAAAGCAGTGTTGAGTCGCTGGGGGATATTTGTAGCAATAGCCAACAATACATTGTATGGGTCAAAATTATACATTTTTCTTTTATGCCAAAAATCATGAGGATATTAAGTAAAGATCATGTTCCATGAAGATATTCTGTACATTTCCTACTGTAAATATATCAAAACTTAATGTTTGATTAGTAATATGCATTGCTAAGAACTTCATTTGGACAACTTTAAAGATGATTTTCTCAATATTTAGATTTTTTTGCACCCTCAGATTCCAGATTTTCAAATATTGTCCTATCCTAACAAACCATACATCAATGGAAAGCTTATTTATCCAGCTTTCAGATGATGTATAAATCTCAATTTTGAAAAAATTGACACTTATGACTGGTTTTGTGGTCCAGGGTCACATATTTGTTTAGGTTTGAAAGGCTACTTTGTAGAGTGTGCTCTTGAGTGGTTGACATGTCCACTTATTATAAGCGACGCTTATTAAGCATCTTTGGGCTTATTGTTTGAGCTTGGCTCAATAAGCGATCCAGCTTAGAGTCAATAAAGTAGGCAGGTGCAGGTCGTGATATTTTGGTATGTGACTTATTTCCAAGCATCTGGATTTGAGTTTATTATGGGCTTGTTCTTACTTGCTGTTCTTTTCTAGCAAGATCTGGCAACATTAATAAGTCAAAACGTACTCTGTGATTTCTTGCACAGCACATACAGAAAACACACAACTCTGATACATGTTTAAATACGCCATTAACAACTAGTTGTTCAGTTCGGTTCCGTACACACTGTATAAAATTTCTGTGAACGTTGTTCTCACTACCTGCATTTTTCAGGAGTCAAGCTGATTGCAGAATGCGTTTGTCACTCCTTTAAATCACTGAACTGTGTGTACAGAACAGGAATCGGGTTGCAAAAGGGTGGAAAATGTCCAGTAAATTCCGGAAACATTCCAGGATTTTTTGGAATCTTCCAGGGATTCTTGGAAAGTTTCCGGGAAAATTTACCAGACATTTTCCACCCCTTTGCAACCCTAAACAGGATTAAGCACTAAAGGCTGAATTTACACCCAAATTCAGCTGCAGTGTGTACATAGCCTATGCCACTCTTAAAATAAGAGGAATGATGGTCATTTTGAAATATGAGAGCAAATTATTGTTCTGGAGTCACTGCTGAACTCACAAAGCAATGATCTGCCGTAAACAAGAAACATGGCCACTTCAGTTTAACTTCTGATGAAGCAGGTGTTATTATCTGGCGTTGTTTAATAAGCTGCTCCACAGACGTTAGATGTGTAACTGTGGTGTGTTTGTGGTCTTGTGTACCCGTCTCATATACGGCCTCGGATTCTGAGGTGTAATGATCCTCTATGGTGTACTGAGCCAGTCTCAGCGTGTCCAAACCGCTCACAGAGTCGTTCCCACGCGCCCAGTAAAACATCACGTCATTGACGTTATAACCCCCTGTGAACAGACAAACAGCATCAACAGCATATGTAAAAATCACACTTTCATACGTGAGAAATAAATCAGATATGTCTCGTCATATACATCAACATTGCATGGTCAATTTACCCTTGATTCATACGATACAAAGACGATTTATGAATTGCACTACTGTAAGTTTTACACTGAAATGGGCAAAGATATACACCACCGGTCAAAAGCTTGGGATTGGTAAGATTTTTGAATGCTTTTGAAAGAGTCTCTCTTCTGCTCACCAAGGCTGAATTGATTTGATCTAAAATACTGTAAAATTGTGAAATATTATTAGAGTTTAAAATAGCCATTTTCTATGTGAATATGTGTTAAACTGTAATGTATTTCTGTGATGCGCAGCTGTATTTTCAGCATCATTCCTCCAGTCTTCAGTGTCACATGATCTTCAGAAATCAGTATAATATGCTGATCTGCTGCTCGAGAAACATTTCTGATTGTTATCAATGTTGAAAACAGTCGTGCTGAACAATATTTTCATGGAAACCATGACACATTTTATTTTTCAGGATTCACAGATGAATAGAAAGTTAAAAAAACAGCGTTCATTTGAAATATAAATACTTTGTAACATTATAAATGTCTTCACTGTCACTTTTGATCAATTTAATGCATCCTTGATGAATAAAAAAATTAAATAAATAATTTTAAACCCAAACTTTTGATATTTTAATATGAATCCATTCTCACACTTGCTTTGATCAGTGAAAACTAAAATTAAAATGTTAACGCTCAAGCAAAGACGCGAGACTAGCAGTCCAATGTTTTTGTAGTTTCATATAAACACAACATTTTAACAACAGATTAAATGATATTAAGAAATTGACATTATTATGAACAAGAGAAGAGAATTTGACGCATGCAGGGATCTGATAAGGGACACATTGTAAATGCAGTCTAATTAATTCATATATTAAGCATTAGATTTCATATTTTGACATGTAGTGAGTGACTCTATCAGATAAATGTCCACATGTATGGGTGTGTAATATCAGTATGTGTGCTCTTGGTGGCGCTGTGCGACAGTAATCAGATACTGAGCGTCTGTGAGATGTGTTTTCTGGATTCATTAATGTGTTCACTCAGACTCCCTGAAGACAGAAACGGCACGTGACGGAGTGTTTCTAATCTCACACACGACTGTGAGCCACTGCCGTCTCACATTATATATCTGTACAGTAAACCGTGATTTAGACTTTGCAATTAAGACATACAATATGCTGCATGCAGGGAGCGGGTTCTGTCTTGACGTGGTTCACTGCGTGGCACACAAATATAACGTCTAGATGAAAGGCCATGATTCAAAGAGACTTTAGAAACCCTCATTTGAAGCAAAGCCTCCTTTGAACATCTCAATCCACCCCGTCTGCATATGATCCATCAGGCACAAAGACGGAGAATCTTTGCTTGTGCCAGACTCACGATTTCTGTCAAACGTCGTATAAATATTTGAGCTCAATATTTGAGCTCAATTTCAGAAGCGTTTGACCTGTACGTCGACATGAATTTCCAAAAATAAAATTCCTTGGAGGAAGTCAGATTGCATGTAACGTCTGCCAAATGCATGGATGGTTTAATGTTCAAAACGATGCCATTTGTGTTCAGACAAGCGATGCACAACTTCTGGAAGAAATATGTGACAGTCTGCTGGATACTTTGTTATGTGATGGTATTTACTTCATGCTGACATTTTCTTAAAAATGCACAATGCAACGGAAGAGCTCAGTGAGCAAAAGCCATTATTTCTAAATTAACGGTAAAAAAACCCCTAAAAATGGCAAAAGAGCTATGCATTATGTTCATATAAAAGATTGTGCAAATAATTCTCATTGGAAAATTTGCGCAAAAAAATATCTGGCTAGTTTGGGACAAAATGTGCTTAAATCGCCGTTTCGTAAAAAATATACTTAACAATTGAAAAAGAACTGCACGTTACGTTCTTATGAAAAATTGTGTAAATAAATCTGAACGAAAAATATCTGGCCTTTCAGAATTTGGGAGAAAATGGGCTTAAATTATGTTTTCATGTAAAATATATTTAAAAATTGCAAAACAAAACAAACAAACAATAAATAAATAAATACAATTGCAAAAAAATAGTTATGAAAGGGTGTGCAAATAATTCGCTTTGGAAAATCTGTGGGGAGAAAAAAACTGACGACGAGAAAATGTGCTTAAATCATCATTTCATGACAAATTATGTTTGCAAATTTAAAAATTCCAAAATAATTATGAATTATGTTCATATGATTGTTTGTTCAAATAATTCAATAATGTGAAAAATCTAGCCTTTTTTTAGCAAAATGTGCATAAATCATATTTTCATGAAAATCTATAGCAAAATGACTGCATATTATGTTTATATAAAATACTTTTTCTTTGGAAAACCTGTGGAAAATTACAATTTGCGGCAAAATTTGTCATTAAAAATTATGTCATAATGCAAACAACAACAAAAGAAGCTAACACTTTACAGTAAGTTTCATTGGTTAACTACATTAGTTTAACATGAACTAAGAATGAACAATACTTCTACAGCATTTATTAATCTTAGTTAACGTTAATTTCAGCATTTACTGTGAACTAACATGACGGTATTTTTATTAACTAACATTAACAAAGATGAGTAAATAGCTTAATAAATGTATTGTTCATCGTTCGTTTAATACATTAACTAATCTTAACAAATGACACGTTGTAAAGTGTTACCAAAAGCAGCTCTCGGGCGTTTCATTAGAGAAAGACTGCGGTTTGTGGGCGACAGACTGAGACTAAAGAAGCTGCTCTAAACCTCTACTCTTTAAGCCGCTGCTCTTATATAAGCACCAGCAGACGACGTGGAAGAGATCCACATCCAAAACTCACAAGAGCGAGGAGCTCAGAGAACAGCAGAAGAGAGACAGATAAAGTCAGCAAGAAGAGAAAGCAGCTTTAGGGGCCAAACGAAAGCCAATCAGGTTGCATGGGAAACTAAATTGGTCTGAATCTACACACGTCAATACAGGAGCATCTTGGACTGATTTCTGTCTGTCTGTCTGTAATATTGATTTATATATGATCTTATGCAACTACGCATCAGAGATCTGCATTGCATGCACGTGCATGGGAAGTAAACAGGCGTAATGTGGCGTGTTTGGATGCATCCACAACATGTTCTTATCAAATATGAAACAGCGTGAATATGAAACATTGTGCAGTTTTATGAGTACAGACACAGAGTACCCAAAAACGTCAGCTTGTTGCCAGAGCAACACTTTGGGGAAGCAAAAGCTGGAAGTGCGTGTGTTTTCTTACAGCTCTCCAGTTGTAAGGTGCACGTCTGCTTGTCCATGGGATATTTGGTCAGATCCATGTTACAGGCCACAGTCGTGGTGATCCTACAGAGGAAACATAAACACTCATAAACACTGACATGTTCTCATCACCATAGTCAACATAGAGCATGAAGACTAGACATGTTTCAAAGCTCATAGATGTTTTTTAAAGAACTTGTTCGTGTCTAAAAATGAAAAAAGAACATAGAAATACCAGGTTCCCTTTATTTCTCTTTCTTTGCACTGCGCAATTAATTTACTTACACAAGCCTGTTTACATTATTCGCAGGACAGGCCAGATCACTTCTTCTGAACATGCAAAATATACATTTATTATTACATTTGTTTGCCTCTCTGTGCCCACATATACTGTATTTTGATGCAGCGTTTCCATTGACATATTTTATTGTTTCTGTTGTCAGACGACAGAATGAATATGAAATAGAGACTGAAACGTGAATTCCAAGATGTTAATCTGCACAAAAATCCTGATTTATAATCGAGCCGTCGTCTGATGAGATCAAATACACATAAGATAAAGACAATAGCTGTTCTGTGATTTTGGCTATACTTTCATGTAAAATTAGATAAGCAACATAATATGTGTTTTAACTGAAAGCGCTGCTCCTCTCAGCCGCTCGCTGAACAGAGCATATACCGGCGAGTCTCCGAAACTAAATAAGGTTTGTCTAATTATGTGTTATGTATTGTTGCTAGGCACTTTTGTTGCCAAGTTGGCAACACTGTGCATCTCCATTTCTCCAACTACGGGTTAGGCCACGGGTCAAACAGAGCATGCGCGCTTCGTTAATCGCGCGTTATTAAAATCAGTGTCGTTACAATGAGTTTGCATTAACTCGTTAATTTTGACATCCCTAGTATTTTAGTCTTGCTTTCCAGTAGAAATATCTATAACATCATTAAACCAAGCAATTAAAAATAAATCCAGGTTTTCTGAGCTTGTCTGTAGAGCTGCAAAATTTGAAAAAAAAATAAATAATAATAATAATCATAAAATTATTATTAATTATTATTATTATTATGTAAAAATAAACAAATGTATAATAATAAATAATTGTATTTATTATAATTTGTTATTTATTATTTTTAAATAAAAACAACTAAATAAACATCCTCTAAATATTTAAATAAGATGCAAAACTGAATTCAGACTTCTTTATTTTGAATTGTTATTCAATTTAACAAGGTTTGAATTGAATATCATTATTGTTATTACTAATAACAACAACAATAAGAAGAAAAACAACAACAATAAATAATAAAAAATAATGAAAAATACCTATATTATTATATACTTAATTATTTATTCTTAATATTTTTTTTCGCATTATTGTCATTATTAATTATTAATAATACATCAATTAATAATAATACATAATTTAAAAAAATAACTTTAGCTATTTTTTATTATTATTAAAAATACAAATATGATAATAACAATAATAATATTTTAAATGATGATGATGACGATGATTACTATTGTTGTTACTAAATAAGCATATAAAGATTACTAACTGAATTCAGACTAAACATCAGTCCAGCTCGAGCAGATTCACAGCTATATATATATCTGTGCTACAGACCAGATAAAGCCTCACCGCAGCGCATACAGAACGGTCCCGTTGGGAAAGATCCGGATCAGTCGGTTCTCCACGGTGATGTCGTGGAGGAAGGACTTCTTGGAGTCCACTATAAAGGTGTCTGGGACCCACAGCAGCTCCACCAGTCGCCCGTCCAGACTCAAGCTCTTATTGCCGTCAAACACGAGCCGCTCGTCTGTCCAGCGCTGCCGGAGGAAGATCGTGGCCGTGTAATCCTGCCCAGTCAACAACAGCAGCTCGATCAGCAACGAATGACGCTCTTATAATGCAACAGCAGAGCATCCATAATGATTTAGCAAACAATAACTAATATACATGTTCACATTTTATGAACAGAACAACATAAACTGTGTGAGATGAGCCAAAGATTAATGCTTGAGGTTAAGAGTATGAACAAACCCTTGACTTTAAGTACAAGCAATAAGTATTTTAATATTATTTTGAATTATTATTATTGTTTTGTTTTAAATTGTCATTATTAATCATGTAAAAAAAAACTTTATAAAAATATTTAAGTTAAATAAATAATAAACATATTTTTAATATTATTATTATTATTATATTATTATTATTATTTAAAACATTACTATTTATACAGAATGAATATGAAATAGAGACTGAAACGTGAATTCCAAGATGTTAATCTGCACAAAAATCCTGATTTATAATCGAGCCGTCGTCTGATGAGATCAAATACACATAAGATAAAGACAATAGCTGTTCTGTGATTTTGGCTATACTTTCATGTAAAATTAGATAAGCAACATAATATGTGTTTTAACTGAAAGCGCTGCTCCTCTCAGCCGCTCGCTGAACAGAGCATATACCGGCGAGTCTCCGAAACTAAATAAGGATTGTTTAATTATGCGTTATGTATTGTTGCTAGGCACTTTTGTTGCCAAGTTGGCAACACTGTGCATCTCCATTTCTCCAACTACGGGTTAGGCCACGGGTCAAACAGAGCATGCGCGCTTCGTTAATCGCGCGTTATTAAAATCAGTGTCGTTACAATGAGTTTGCATTAACTCGTTAATTTTGACATCCCTAGTATTTTAGTCTTGCTTTCCAGTAGAAATATCTATAACATCATTAAACCAAGCAATTAAAAATAAATCCAGGTTTTCTGAGCTTGTCTGTAGAGCTGCAAAATTTGAAAAAAAAATAAATAATAATAATAATCATAAAATTATTATTAATTATTATTATTATTATGTAAAAATAAACAAATGTATAATAATAAATAATTGTATTTATTATAATTTGTTATTTATTATTTTTAAATAAAAACAACTAAATAAACATCCTCTAAATATTTAAATAAGATGCAAAACTGAATTCAGACTTCTTTATTTTGAATTGTTATTCAATTTAACAAGGTTTGAATTGAATATCATTATTGTTATTACTAATAACAACAACAATAAGAAGAAAAACAACAACAATAAATAATAAAAAATAATGAAAAATACCTAATTATATACTTAATTATTTATTCTTAATATTTTTTTTCGCATTATTGTCATTATTAATTATTAATAATACATCAATTAATAATAATACATAATTTAAAAAAATAACTTTAGCTATTTTTTATTATTATTAAAAATACAAATATGATAATAACAATAATAATATTTTAAATGATGATGATGACGATGATTACTATTGTTGTTACTAAATAAGCATATAAAGATTACTAACTGAATTCAGACTAAACATCAGTCCAGCTCGAGCAGATTCACAGCTATATATATATCTGTGCTACAGACCAGATAAAGCCTCACCGCAGCGCATACAGAACGGTCCCGTTGGGAAAGATCCGGATCAGTCGGTTCTCCACGGTGATGTCGTGGAGGAAGGACTTCTTGGAGTCCACTATAAAGGTGTCTGGGACCCACAGCAGCTCCACCAGTCGCCCGTCCAGACTCAAGCTCTTATTGCCGTCAAACACGAGCCGCTCGTCTGTCCAGCGCTGCCGGAGGAAGATCGTGGCCGTGTAATCCTGCCCAGTCAACAACAGCAGCTCGATCAGCAACGAATGACGCTCTTATAATGCAACAGCAGAGCATCCATAATGATTTAGCAAACAATAACTAATATACATGTTCACATTTTATGAACAGAACAACATAAACTGTGTGAGATGAGCCAAAGATTAATGCTTGAGGTTAAGAGTATGAACAAACCCTTGACTTTAAGTACAAGCAATAAGTATTTTAATATTATTTTGAATTATTATTATTGTTTTGTTTTAAATTGTCATTATTAATCATGTAAAAAAAAACTTTATAAAAATATTTAAGTTAAATAAATAATAAACATATTTTTAATATTATTATTATTATTATTATTATTTAATTATTTAAAACATTACTATTTATAATAATAATAATAATTATTATTATTTAATATATATATTTTTTATTAATAAAAATGATATGATCTCTATATTACAGTAGTAGTAAAAAAATATATGTATTTATCATTATTAATCATGAAAAAACAAACTTTTAAAAATGTTATATTTATTAATAGTTATTATTATTTAAAAAACAGCAAAAAAATACTACTTTTAATAATAATTAATTATTATCAGTATTATCATTATTATTATAAAAATTAGCATTTTTAAACAATATTTGTTAATTATTTATTATTATTATTTATGTTTTAAATATTTTTTATCATTATTAATCATGTAAAAACAAACCTTTAAAAATTTTATATTTATTAATAGTTATTCTTATATAAAAAACAAACAAAACCAAAAATACTACTTTTAATAATAATCAATTATTATTATTATAAAAATGAGCATTTTAAAACAAAATTTTTTAATGATTTATTATTATTTATGTTTTAAATTATTATTATCATTATTAATCATGTAAAAACAAACTTAAAAATGTTATATTTATTAATAGTTATCATTATTTTTTTTAAATACTACGTTTAATAATAATAATAATAATAATAATTATTATTATTATTATTATTATAGTTACTATTTCACAATCCCTTAATCTCAAGCATGATCAATCAATCAATCAATCAATACAAATAATAATGAGCACATAACACATTTCGAAGTCATCATTCATGGAAACTAATGTATAAGATATTTTAATTTCACTCCCAGGTGTGGTGTGTGTTTCTCACCATGTTGATCTCTGATATCGTATCAATGCTGGCGATGTCTAAACTCATGCCCACCGTGACGGGACCATCTGAAGCACAGAGACGAGAGAAGCCATGCAAACATCATGTACATCTGCAGCTCTGCAATCCATCGTAATTCAGAGAATCCTTGTTAAAGACGCAGCTCTCAGCTGTTTACGCTGAAACTATGACTGAGGAGGAGATGCCGAAGTATTTGTCCCTTCGGATTCGCCAGCAGAACTTCACACGAATGCACTGTGAGACGAGCAGCTGTGAGAAATGCATTACGCTGTAAGAGCGACGGGGAGCAATGCAAAGATGCAAACAATTCGACATCAGCAGCGGATTGATTTCATACCAACTACTGGAGTTTAGTCTCATTAAACAGATTTTGCATTCATGCATTTAGCAGACGGTTTTATCTGAAGCGACTTGCATTGCATTCAAGGTTTACACTCGATTAGTTCATGCATTCTTTGCAAATCCCAATGATCTTGACGTTATTAGCACCACGACGCACTGTGAGTTACAAGAATACTTTTGTATACTTGAATACTTTTCCAGAACGCTGGACTGATTCGAGATAATGATTTAGATTTTTTTTTAAATCTAATTCAAAATATTATAACAAAAAAACTACAATGGTATCTCAATTGTACTTAAAATAATAAGTGAGCATGCATATTTGTTCGAGAGCAACGCAGGCTCGATTGCATGTTATTGCATTTTGTAATGTCTCAGAGACGCCACAAGAGAGAGAGAGACAGAGAGAGAGAGAGAGAGAGAGAGAGAGAGAGAGAGAGAGAGAGAGAGAGAGAGAGAGAGAGAGAGAGAGAGAAAATAAGCTCATTTTCATAATTGGATTACTTTGATCCGTCAGTGCGGAGGACCTGAAAACATACCATCAGCACTCGGATTTCATCACGTTTCGCTTTTACACACAACAGCGAAAATACTGCTGCACCTTCAGCAGAAACTAAAGCGCATTTATGATGCCATCAAAGACTCGTGCATGAGTGTGACGTACAGTAAATACAGCGAAGCGCTGAGACCTGCTAAAACTGGCTGCCGTTAGTTTCATTATCTGAGAATACGTGTTTTCGATTTGAATTTAAAGTTTATTTAAACGTAGATTTCTAGGACATGTCAGGGCTGCGATTTTCTTCTGATAAAAATCTGTGCTTGATTGTAAAGCTGCACAGTTTGGCTGAGATGTGATTATATATTGTTATGGCCATAATAATAATAATAATGAACAAAATAAGAATTATTATTACTATTTTAATATTTCACTATCAAAAAAAAAAGAGAGAGAGTATTTACACAATTTGGCCAAAATGTAGGATTTTATATTAATATGACATTTATAATAATAATAATAATAATCATTATTATTATTATTATTATTGAAAATAAAATAAGAAACATTACTATTTTAATATTTGACCATAAAAAAACACAGTTTGGACAAAATTATTTGATTTTGTATGGCTATAATAATAATAGTAATAATAATTATTATTATTATTAAAATAAATAAGTAATATTATTACTATTTTAATATTTCACTGTAAAATAAATAATTTGTATAATTAATATTTGACCATAAAATAAATTTAAAAACACACAGTTTGGACAACATTTTTTATTTAGTATGGCTATAATAATAATAATAGTAGTAATAATAATAATAATAATAATAATAATAATAATAATAATAATAATAATAATTATTATTATTATTATTAATAATAATAAAATAAATAAGTAATATTATTACTATTTTAATATTTCACTGTAGAATAAAAAATACAGTATTTAAGAAAAATAGGATCATCATCACCATTATTATATTTTACATGACAACTATAAAAAATACATTTATAGCTGTCTTAATTTCTTCATTTTCAAACTGCTTTTTGTAGATAAGCGCTTCTCATTACAAGTTTGGGAAGACGGTTGTGCTCACGTGTTAATAAACACAGTGCCGCACTTCACTCTGAAACACGCAGTGCATATTTTTATTTCATGAACTCGCAGCCTTTGCGATTTGAAAAGTTTTTAATCAAAGCATGATAAAGATACTGCAGATAAAGATATGGCTTAATGCGTTTAAGTTGCTGTTATCAAAAATAATCGTGCTGCTGGCCTGAGGGATAAAGGGAAAAAATGCAGAGGACTTAAATGTTTCAGAGCGTATGAGGAGAAAACAGGCCACTGGCTGAACTCAGACATTTATATTTGTTCCAAGATCAAAACATCTTCATATACAACTCGCACTACAGTCGCTTACTGTACTCGTTCGTGTCTATATTTAATACTTCCAAAGAGAAATTGCAGGACAAACATCTGAGAAAGCTGAAACATAAATGACAACTCCATCGAGCTGTGGAAGAGCAACGTCTGAGAAACGGAGAATTTCCCGTTGTGCAGATAAATACTGGCTGGAAATAAAGTAGGACAGTGTACAAACAGCCAAGAGACACGATCCAAACCGCTCTCATTACAAAACCACAAACAGTGTGTGGGATCAGAAGAACCGCTCCAGCTCCGTTTCTGACAGTGACTGGCTTTCGTTACAGTCAAGACTAGAGGTGGGAGAAAATATCGATTCTCCGATGCTTCGCCGTTCTCTTACAGAATCGTTCCTAACTTGGTTTTTACTTTAGATATGCTTCATTTGGAATGCAGTGCTTTATTAGATGCAGACTTCGTCACGTCCTGAAGGCTGGGGTTAAATGCACTTGCATCTCTGAACACTTTTATGATACGAAATCGATGTAAACACAGTCAGTTATGTTTTCTGGGATCTGTGCATTAGTGTGAATCCAGCCTATTAAAGCTGCCACTGTCTGTGATCTCATCAGTAATAATCAAACGGCAATAATGCTGAGGAAAAAAGAAAAACCCATAACTATGATTATCTGTAAACTGTAAACTTAAATCACTCTCAGATATTGAAAGTACTTTTTGTTTATCACTTGTTATTGTCTTTTTCCTCCTTAATTACTTTATATTTGGTTGTATGTTTGGAAGCTATATTTAGTTGGTTAAATTCTTAACAATTGTTTTGATTTATTATTAATTTGTACGTCCTTTAAAAAGTAGCCCGCTCATATAATTTAATTAAAATGCACAAAATTAATTTTACCTAAAATGACTATGAAAATGTAACCATGTGCCGTGATATTGAAAATTGAGGATGCAACGCATCGTGATATTGAATCGAATCGTTGACATGATTGTCGTAATCCAATCGAATAGTGAAACCAGTGACGATTCACATCCCTACTCAAGACTACAGGCACATTTCACCCAAAAATCAAAGTAATATGAATAATACAATTGAAAAAAATACATTTATATTTATAAAAAAAAGAATTAATCAGAAAATGAAGCCTATTTGGCATCAAAATATTTTTTATTTATGTATTTGTTTGTATTGTTACCTTCTTCATAATTAGTTTTTTTTTTTTACACTTTAGATGTTTTTTTTTACACTTTTAGACCATTTAGATATCAAAAATAAAGCCACAATGTAGAAAAATCCTAATGGTCCTAAAATAGTCTATTTTCCTCGAGGTTTAAAAACTTCATGACAGGTTTTTGTTTTAAAGATTTTGTTTTAGCAGCACTTCTAACAGACAATCTGACAGCTCTTGTTTCTTAACGATTAAATTTAGAAAAGAGGGGGATGCAAAAGAGAAACAGCCGATAACTTCAGACATGAAAGGAGCATTTTTTAGATTGGACTGAAGTCATGCAGCAGTGAAATCAGCTCATATCCGTCAGGATGATGAGATTCTGTGATTGACAGCCGCTCATCTGAGGATTTGACTGAATGATCACGCCGCCGGATCAATGCAATGCCTTCACTTCTACTGTTAATGCCATCTGAACATCTCAGGTCATACAGGGTCACTTTCACATGTACTTGGGACGGATTCATCTGCAAATAGGATTCATTTCTCCAAAACCTGTTGAAATGATTTGGCACACAACTTTAAGTAGATGCATGCATTTGTATTTGCATGGAAATAAACTTGCCAAAAACAGGGCAATATGGATGCATTGCAAAAAATGGATCCCTACAGTAAATCACTTCGGGAAATGCATTTAATTGAGGAATGCATTGATTCTCCACATCTGACCTGAACGTACAGTATTTCTCCAGCACAGACATGTAAAACAGAGCCTCCTCATCCTCACATCATTAGTCTCTTTCATCCCTTCTGGCTTCCAGTCCTCGTCTAACAGGCTGGTTTGATGTTGGAGGTGCTGAGGAGGTCATGAGCATCAGCGGTGACACACTGACAGTCCTTTAAAAACACCTGCGACACGGCATTTCACGCACAAAACCTGGGGTGCAGGAGGTGTACGTAATGACAATAATGACATTTATTTATTTATTTATTTTTGTAAAATTTGTTGTCTGGTTTTGTCATTTTTAAAAGTGTGTGTGTGTGTGTGTGTGTGTGTGTGTGTGTGTGTGTGTGTGTGTATATGGCTGGTTTGATGTTGGAGAATTATATGTTTTTCTTTAACAGATGTCTCTGTCTAATTCTAATTTACCAGAGACATCTGTTAAAGAAAAACGTCTCCAGGTTACGTATGTAACCATGGTTCCCCGAAGGGAACGAGATGCTGCGTTGGAGGACGCTTTGGGAACGCCTTTCAGCGTGACCGGCTCTGAATCATATGTGTAATCAGTCCATTGGAAGGGCAAAACGTCATAGGCAGGTGAAGTACACTCTTACAAATAAAGGTGCTTCACGATGCCATAGAAGAACCTTTTTGTCT